AGCCTCATTTATCCTTTAATATATCTAAGCGTTTGGCATCTGAATTCATTGAGTAGAGCAGCACACCATATAATGTATTTAATATGGTATATTAAACATGATAATAAGGAGAATAAAACTTGTAGGCCATAAGATTTTCTTGAATGTGTTAACCTGAGTCAGGGTACCTTTTTTTTTTTTTTGAGACAGAGTTTCACTCTTGTTGCCCAGGCTGGAGTGCAATGGTGCCATCTCTGCTCACCACAACCTCTGCCTCCCAGGTTCAAGGGATTCTCCTGCCTCAGCCTCCCGAGTAGCTGAGATTACAGGCATGTGCCACCACGCCCAGCTAATTTTATATTTTTATTAGAGATGGAGTTTCTCCATGTTGGTAAGCCTGGTCTTGAACTCCTGACCTCAGGTGATCTGCCTGCCTCAGCCTCCCAAAGTGCTGGGATTATAGGCGTAAGGCACCGCGCCCAGCCCCGTGTACCATTTTTTAAATGGCCTCTAATGAAATCCTGATTTTATCGACTCTAATTTTTGTCTTTTTTGCATCTCTGAACCTTCTTGCTTTTTTAAAGGATTTTGTTTTTACTGTGGTATATTATACATAACATTTTACCATTTTTAAGTGTATGGTTCAGTGGCATGAAGTATATTCACACTATTGTGCTGCCATCACCACCATCCATCTCCAGACCTTTATTATCCCTAATTAAAACACCCACACCCATGAAGCACTAATTCCCCACTCCTCCCTTTCTCCAGTCCATGGTAACCACTAGTCTACTTTCTGTCTATGAACTTGACTACTCTAGGTACCTTATATAAGTGGAGTCATATAATATTTATCCTTTTGTGTCTGGCTTATTTCACCATTAGCATAATGTCTTCAGGGTTCTTCCATATTGTAGCACATATCAGAATTTTATTCAAGGCTGAATAAGCCAAGCACAGTGGCTCACACCTGTAATCCCAGCACTTTGGGAGGCCGAGGTGGGTGGAGCACCTGAGGTCAGGAGTTCAAGACCAGCCTGGCCAACATGGTGAAACCCCATCTGTACTAAAAATACAAAAATTAGCCAGGCGTGGTGGTGTGCACCTGTAGTCCCAGTTACTTGGGAGGCTGAGGTGGAAGAATTGCTTGAACCTGAGAGGTGGAGGCTGCAGTGAGTGGAGACTGCACCACTGCATGGCAGCCTGGTGACAGAGTGAGACTCTGTCTAAAAAAAAAGAAAAAGAAAAAAGGCTTAATAATACTGCATTGTACACGTATACCACATTCTGTTTATCATAATCCATTGATCAACATTTGGGTTGCTTCCATCTTTTGGCAACTATAAATACTGTTGCTATTATACGAGTATCAATTTGAGTGTTTTGGGTATATACCTAGAAGTGGCATTGCTGGATCAAATGGTAATTCTATGTTTAATTTTTTGAGGGACCATCATACTGGTTTTTTACAGCAGGTGTACCATTTTATATTCCTACCAGCATTGCATGAGGGTTTCAGTTTCTCCACATCCTTGCCAATGCTTATTTCCTAGTTTTTGTTGTTTTTATAATAACTATCCTAATGAGTGTGAAGTAGTATGTCACTGTGGTTCTTACTTGTTTGTATGCAATACTAGTAGTTGGTGTAATAGACATAGCAAATTTGGATATTACATTAATTAATGTCTGGCTCTAATTAGATATATCTGCATGTATGTATACATTGATTCTTTTCCTCCAAAATTACAACATGGTTTATAAGAACATGTGAACAATAAGATAAATAATACAAACAGCTCAATTCATGTCACTGGGAAAACTGAAAAAATAGAAGAAAACTAAAAAATGAAACTATAACCCAAATTAGATGAACAAGAAAGTGTGTTGTAATGTCCCCTACAGTTACTAAAATTGGAGTGAAAAGAAATCAATCGTGAACTTCCTGGTGGCCAAAGTAAAAATAAAAACAGGGTCGCTAACGTGGTTTGTTTACTACAGAAGATGAAAGCACAGGAAAAAAAAGGCTTTTCTTGGCTCATTGATGTAAGAAATAAGCTATCGCTATTTTAAAATATGTAGAGATAATTGTGTTACTGACACCAGCAGATTTCAGACTGAAAGCAAACAGGATTTTTTTTTGTATTATTGGGGTTGGGATTGGCAATGACTCCATAGCCTGACTACTGGAAGACTGTTTTTGTGGGTAGAATAGTAGTTTCAAAGTGCAGTTGGGGTGACAGGAAGGCAACTCCACCTATCTCAGCAGAGAGATAAGTTCTATTCCCTTGGACTTTAGTCAGTTAATGTTGTATACAGTACACAGGTAAGAGCTTGAATTGTGTCCTATGTATTTATATACATAGCTGGCATTTCCTGCCCAGGTCACAGATTGTAACTACATGGGTGTTTATACAAATAGTCTTCTTAAAAATATATCCTTATCTTCCATTTGGAAGAAGGGAAAGGTCTTCATGTTCGAATTTAATGTTGAAATTTCTTGGTTGGGTGCAGTGGCTCATGCCTATAATCCTAGCACTTTGGGAGGCCGAGGCAGGAGGATTGCTTGAACCCAGGAGTTTGAGACTAGCTGGGGTAACATTGTGAGACTCCATCTCTATTTTAATTGGGATCTTTTTTCTTTTTTTCTTTTCTTTTTTTTTTTTTGGCTCCTTTTTTTGTGGAAAACAAGGTCTTTCTATATTTCCCAGGCAGGTTTCGAACTCCTGGGCTCAAGTAATCCTCCCACCTCTGCCTCCCTAAGAGCTGGAATTACAGGCACAAGCCACTGTGCCTGGCCCTCCATCTCTATTTTTAAAAAAAGAAAAAAAACTTTTTCAACTTGAAACTACAGAAACTAATGTATCGTTTTCCAAGTATACTACAAAAAAATTTCATGATAACTGGAGATGTCAAACCAGCTTCCAAGCACTTGAAGAGGAAAAAAATAATAAGAATAGAAGCCACATGTAACAGATATTTTTAAAGAACTGAAAATGTTTATCTTAAGAATTACTCTAAAATTGAAAGAATTGGTCTAAGATTTTACTGAAAAGTTTGGATGAAAAATAATAACTGACATTTCTTGAGCATTTATAATGTTCTAGGCACCATTCAAAATGCTGTGTATGTATTAACTCACTCCTCTAAACTTAATGAGGTCAACACTATTATTATCATTCCTATTTTATAGGTAGGGAAACTGAGGTGAGGCATGGAGCAGCTAACACTAGCAAGTATTAGAGCTGAGATTCATACACAAACATATGCAGTCTGGCTCCAGAAGCCACATACTTACCTGCTAAACCATACTGCCACTTGATACTAGAGCAAATTAACCACAGAAGGACTATTTTGGCCATCTGGCAAATAAATAGCTTAGATTTATTTTGTTTCATTATAGTTTTGTTTTTTCCTTCAATGATCAAATTCATTTTTATTATCCTTGAAATTTCCCTTAATATTCTTGTATACATCTCCTAGTCCTAAATTTTAAAAAAATGAATGATACTCCGGGTTCTGATTAATTGATGAAACCTTATACAGCCATTAAAGATGATATTTTTACAAAGATTTTTAAGAATATGGAGGAATGCTTATAACATAAAGTAGCACCATGTAAATTAGGAAGAAGCCAGGCTTCCCCCTCCCACCTCCTCAAGAAAACATCTGGAAAACAGATGGAAAGTTTCATTGTGCTATTATTGGGTTGGAAAATTAGGACTAATTTCTTATGTACTTTTCTTAACTTTCTATAAAATTCAACTGAATGCTTTTATAGTCCAAAAAATGAAATATATTTCATTTTTTAAAGGCAAATTGAAGCCTTTCATTACAAAAGTATAGTCTGCAGCTCTTCATGATAATCTTATTGCATAATTTAGAATCATTTCCACAGAGCCCTCGGCCATATAAGCGAAGGTGGCACAGTTCAGACCTGCACTGTGATAGGTGGGTGTTTAATTAAATTTAAAATCCAGCTCCTCAGTCACACTAGCTCCATTCCAAGTGCTCAGTAGCCACATGTGGCAAGTGACAGCTTTTCTAGCATCATAGAAAATTCTATTGCCCAGTATGCGTTTGGAAGAAAAAACAGGGAATCTGGAGCCAGAAAACTTGGAATCAAGTCTACCCTACTAGCTGACACTTACTGTGTGAAATGGGGCAATTTACTCAACCTCTCTCAGCCTATTTCCCCATGACCAAATTGGGACTGAAGATAATATCACATACCATATACAGAGGTTAAGAAGATTAAGAGAATGCAGGTGACAGTTCTCCGAAAACAATAGTGTGGTTTACCAGGTAGATGCTGCTTCCCAGGCCTCCAGCTTGAAGTCAGTCTAGCTTTTCGAGGACTGATTCCAAATCTTTGAATGCTTCACACCAAGAATTTTACCTGAATGCCACCATCAAAATCAGATTAGCTCTTATTACAGTTCCTAGACCAAGTCTGTGGCAATGTGCGCATTTCATTTCTTCCTTGTAAAAAGCTTTAATACACAGCTCTCTCTATACAGTGACACCTCCTAAAAGTTTTCTTTAATAATTTAAAATCTTCACTGTATTTCCATTCCTACAAAGAAAAAGACTCCCTTAAAAAAGAAAAGAAAAAAGGTTTGTTCACCAAAGAAATACGTGAAGTTTGTCAAATTCCATATAACAAGGAAATCAGGCGGAGTTAACGGTGCAGGAATGAAGCAAAAGAACATGAGGTTTTTACCAACAATGATAGCAGTTTCGCAAAACTTCAAAGCTATCGGGGTACTGATGAAATGCAAGTACTTGCTCATTCTGATTTTTTTTTTTTTTCCTAACTCACTTCTGGTTCTTACTGCAAGACAAGTTCACTATTTTAGACAAGTGTAGGGCTGCTGCATTTCCAGAACACCTCCATCCTATTTCTCATTTAAATCACCTCACCTTCCCCGTGGCCTATTAATGCATACTTGCAAGGCTGCGAAACAACCCAAAGGAGGCAAGATCCAGCGGTTCCCCACTCACGCTCCTTTCTGCTTCCCCAGGTTTCCGCCAGCTGTGGATGCCTTTGACATTATGACCGCAGAGGATTCCACCGCAGCCATGAGCAGTGACTCGGCCGCTGGGTCCTCGGCCAAGGTGCCCGAGGGCGTGGCGGGCGCGCCCAACGAGGCAGCACTGCTGGCGCTGATGGAGCGCACGGGCTACAGCATGGTGCAGGAGAACGGGCAGCGCAAGTACGGCGGCCCACCGCCCGGCTGGGAGGGCCCGCACCCGCAGCGCGGCTGCGAGGTCTTCGTGGGCAAGATCCCGCGCGACGTGTACGAGGACGAACTGGTGCCCGTGTTCGAGGCTGTGGGCCGCATCTACGAGCTGCGCCTCATGATGGACTTCGACGGCAAGAACCGCGGCTACGCCTTCGTCATGTACTGCCACAAGCACGAGGCCAAGCGCGCAGTGCGCGAGCTCAACAACTACGAGATCCGCCCGGGTCGCCTGCTAGGCGTGTGCTGCAGCGTAGACAACTGCCGCCTCTTCATCGGCGGGATCCCCAAGATGAAGAAGCGCGAGGAGATCCTGGAGGAGATCGCCAAGGTCACCGAGGGCGTGCTGGACGTGATCGTCTACGCCAGCGCGGCCGACAAGATGAAGAACCGTGGCTTCGCCTTCGTGGAGTACGAGAGCCACCGCGCGGCTGCCATGGCTCGCCGCAAGCTCATGCCCGGCCGCATCCAGCTGTGGGGCCACCAGATCGCCGTGGACTGGGCCGAGCCCGAGATCGATGTGGACGAGGACGTGATGGAGACGGTGAAGATCCTCTACGTGCGCAACCTCATGATCGAGACCACAGAGGACACCATCAAGAAGAGCTTCGGCCAGTTCAACCCTGGCTGCGTGGAGCGCGTCAAGAAGATCCGCGACTACGCCTTCGTGCACTTCACCAGCCGCGAGGATGCCGTGCACGCCATGAACAACCTCAACGGCACTGAGCTGGAGGGCTCGTGCCTGGAGGTCACGCTGGCCAAGCCCGTGGACAAGGAGCAGTACTCGCGCTACCAGAAGGCAGCCAGGGGTGGCGGTGCGGCCGAGGCGGCGCAGCAGCCCAGCTACGTGTACTCCTGCGACCCCTACACGCTGGCCTACTACGGCTACCCCTACAACGCGCTCATCGGGCCCAACAGAGACTACTTCGTGAAAGGTTAGTGGGGGCTCTTCTCCTGGGTGGGGCCCTCAAGAACTTTGCCTCCTAGGCAGGGGGCACCAGGGATATCGTGGCTGGCATTTGCTGAGCTGGTAGGTGCTGAAGGCCCTCCCACCCTCCTTTTGGGTTTGCATTCTGAGTCTAGTTCTTTGCTGGCACCGAAGGCCATCACTTCTGCAGCACTGATAGAAATACAGGTCGTTCTGGGGTGAGCGGTAAAATCACATGGGTGTGCAAACACTGGCATTCTGCCTTGCCGGGGTCCACCGGGTTAGGGGCTCGTCCACCAATCTCTTGGTGCTTAGGTTAAAACCTGCTTGTGATATTAAATCTTAAGATGTTGGTGGAGTCAATGATTTTTAATTTTGTTTTTTGTTATCATTGGTTAGGATATAATGAAACGCAGCATTACCTGGAAAATAAGATACATAGGTTCTGGGTCCTGTTCTCTGATTAACTAGTCTGTGACTTTAGTCACTTTAGTCTCCCCTGGCCTGTTTTCTCAAGCATGAAATGAGGAAGGTGGACTAGCAAATCCCCTTCCAAATCTAACTTTAAAAAAAAATTATTTAATTGTGTGTATATATATATATATATATTTGGAGACAGGGTCTCACCATGTTGCCCAGGCTGGTCTTGAACCCCTGGGCTCAAGCCATCCTCTAGCCTTAGCCTCCCAAAGTGCTGGGATTACAGGCACAAGACACCGCACCTGGCCCCAATTTTTTTTGGGGGGAGTGGGTATTCTATGAATGTTTTTCTTTACTGAAATTGCAGATACAATCCTAGAAACTCACCCTGTAAGTTTGCCTCTTGTACTAAGCAGACATGCTTAGGATGCAAATCTAGGCTGAAATAGAATGTTGGAAGCATCTTTACCAGCCTATTAAAGAGCAAAGGTGTAGCTACCTGCAACTTAGACTGGAGCAGTTAAATGCTGAGAACTGAGGGCTGAGGTCTGCCTCCAGCACCATCACTGTTGGTTGCTCATCATCTTTTGTGTTGTTATTACAAGCAGGCAGCATAAGAGGCCGAGGGCGAGGTGCAGCTGGCAACAGAGCCCCGGGGCCCCGGGGTTCCTACCTCGGGGGATATTCTGCTGGCCGTGGTATATATAGCCGATATCATGAAGGGAAAGGAAAGCAGCAAGAAAAAGGATATGAACTTGTGCCGAATTTGGAAATCCCTACCGTCAACCCAGTTGCCATTAAACCTGGTACAGGTCAGTATAAACCAGATTGAGAATGCACCCATTCACCATAAACCCCAGCCCTTCTGTTAGAAGTGAATCCAAGCCTTTCTGGGGATCTCACATCTGCACAGGGGTTCCTCTTCGCCCAGGCAGCTAGGGACAAGGCAAAAAGAAAGTGGCCCCCTGGACCTCCTTATCTAGAACTTCAAGGGATGGTGTAGCTTTGACCATGGTCAAATCAAACTTGCCTGAAGTAAGGTTTTCTTTTTTCCTTTTTTTTTTTTTTTTTTTTGTGAGACAGAGTCTCACTCTGTCACCCAGGCTGGAGTGCAGTGGCACGATCTCGGCTCATTGCAAGCTCTGCCTCCCGGGTGCATACCATTCTCCTGCCTCAGCCTCCAGAGTAGCTGGGACTACAGGTGCCCACCACCACGCCCAACTAATTTTTATATATATAAATAAATTTTTTTTTTAAGTAGAGATGGGGTTTCACTGTGTTAGCCAGGATGGTCTCGATCTCCTGACCTCATGATCCGCCCATCTCAGCCTCCCAAAGTGCTGGGATTACAGGCGTGAGCCACTGCGCCCAGCCGTGCAGTAAGATTTTCAAAGGGTTGTCACCCATTGTTAGTCTTTTTCTCAGTCTGTGGCTAAGTAGGGAGAGTTGTGGGGGGAAGAAAGGAAGAACATGAGGCTCTCTGTATCTTCTGTCAGGTAAAACGTATCTTTTCCTTACTGAGGCCTATTTCTGCCCCAACCATCTGATGTCAGAGGGTAGAGCTTATTGGCCCATTCTGAGAGTTGTTGGGAAGGGCAGAAAATTCCTCTTCAGAATTCAGCAGCACCTTTTGTCCCTTGTCATGGTCTGAGCAAATAAGAATGCTTGGGGACAAGGCAGTGGTCAAAGTTTTGTTGTTGTTGTTGTTTGAGATGGAGTCTTGCTCTGTCACCCAGGCTAGAGTGCAGTGATTTTGGCTCACTGCAACCTCCACCTCCCAGGTTAAGCGATTCTCCTGCCTCAGCCTCCCCAGTAGCTGGAACTACAGGCGCGCACCACCATGCCGGCTACTTTTTGTATATTTAGTAGAGGTGGGGGTTTCACTATGTTGCCCAGGCTGCTCTCAAACTCCTGATCTCAAGTGAGCCGCCCCCCTCAGCCTCCCAAAGTGCTGGGATTATAGGCATGAGCCACCGCACCTGGCCTTTGGTGAAAGTTTTTGCAGCTAATTCCCTGGTTTCTAATTTCCAGCACTCATTTCCTCCTCTAGCTGGATCAGTAGATTGGGAGTAGGGATGCTCAATAATTTCAAGCCAGGGACCTTGAACTTTGCTTTCACCTCCAGGCCCCACAAACCTGTTTATCAATGTTGTTAGTGCCCATGGCCATCTAACGTGAGGCCGGTCTTCTGATCCAAACCTGCAAAGAACATTAACTCCATTGTGTGAGTCTAGCACGAACTCACGCAGCACCCCGCAGAAGCATCCAAACACATGGAAAACTCAGTCCGTGGGTGATTGGCGTGACCCTCCTCCAGACGCCCTCCCTGGCTTCAGCAGGAGGAGGTTGAAGAACTTCAGCAGGAGGAGGTTGAAGAACTGTTCAGAGCCCAGCTACTCTGATTTTCTTCTGGTTGAGATTGTACACTTCTTTCCCTAGCTAAAATAGAGTCAAGGAATCTGTGCATTTGGGACATAGGTACGCATTGGCCTCATAGGGTTAAAAAGTATTTTGCTAGTTGAACTTTCTTTTGATGAATCTAGTAATGATTTTTTTTTTTTTTTTGGCCTGCGTAAAAATTCTGCAATTAAGTGACTCCTTAGACTAGATTGCCTTTTAAATGTCATTGGCACTGTGGGCAAAGTAAAACTGATCCTACAGCTCTGTAACTTCATAAAATAGAGCCTGGATATGGGAGTTGTCGCTTCTACTTGTTGGGAAGGGGACTCCTGTTGGCAAGTTAAGGCAGCTTAAGGTTTAACAAGAGAAAAGAACTGTTAAATAATCTTTAGTCATGTAAAGTTGTGTCCTGGAGGCTGAGGTAGAAATTCCTGTGGGCTGATAGCCAGAACAATTCATTTACTTCATACAACCCCTTGTAGCTTAAACTCACAACCCTCTCTGGGCCCCATCCATTGGCCTTGGTGTCTATTTCTGATCATCCAGAAAATGAGAACATTGTATTTTAGGAGAGGCACCAGGGTGGTGGTGAAGTATCTGGGCGCAAGACCAGTGGAAGATATGGTTGGAAAGGCAGGTAAAATATTTGATTCAGGTTTTAGGTATATTTTATCAAATGGCCATACCATTGTTTAGCTTATAATCATTTGTCTCTTTACCTTTGATTGAGTCTATCCTTATTAGAATAAGTGTACCTACAGTTGGAGAAAACCAGAAATAGAAAGATTCTTTGTGTACACATTTCATATTTTTGCTTATCCTTTCAACACACACAAACACACAAATACACCCCCCACTGCCCCCCGACACACACACATCAGGGCTAGTATCTTCTCCTTTTGATCTCTTCTTACTGTACCTTAACATTCAATAACTGCTATCTGTTTGAATCTCTCGTTGAAATCATAATTTTGGACTTGCAGAAATTCTTTGAATTGGGAGGTCCCACTAAAAGCCAATCACTCCACAGCTTCGCTACTTTGAGTGGACATGAAGAAATTGGGGAATGTGCTATTTTTTTTTACCGTGTGTTTTTGCTTGAATCAGTAATGCTAAAATCTGAAATAAAGGGTGGGGAGGATGTACGCAGGTCTGAGTTCTCAGAATGAAACCCTCAACAGCACCTGTTTCTTAAATAGTGGTGAAAGTGAAAAAAAGGCAGTGGGACTGGTAATGAGTGAGGTGAGTAGGAAGGAACAGGCGGGCCCAACTCTCACAGGCGGTAGGCCTCAAGCCTCTGATCTCACTTCTTTGTCTAAGCCTGTTTTCCCATAGTCAGAGGCCCTTTCTTGCTCAGTAGGACATCAAGAATAAGATTCAAACTGATTTTTCTGTAGAAATAGAAAATATTGGTGCAGAAGCCTAACTCTAGGGGTCTCTTCCACGACAGGCAGGGGTAGTTACCTGCCACTGCCTATCCCTTCCTCTTGGGGAGCAGGCATCTGGGTACATGGCTTGTACTGAGAGAACAATAGTGAGCTTAGAGAGGCCCCTGACCTCTAAATGTGGTTTTAAAAAAATATCTTCGGCTGGGTGCGGTGGCTCACACCTGTAATCTAAGCACTTTGGGAGGCCAAGGCAGTTGGATTGCTTGAGCTCAGGAGTTCAAGACCAGCCTGGGCAATGTGGCAAAACCCTGTCTCTACAACAACAACAGAAAATAGCTGGGCAAGGTGGCCTGTGCCTATAGTTCCAGCTACTCAGGAGGCTGAGGTGGGAGGATTGCTTGAGGCCAAGAGATTGAGGCTGCAGTAAGCCTTGATCGCACCACTGCATTTCAGCCTGGGCCACAGAGTGAGACCCTGTCTCAAAAGAAAGAAAAGTTTTTTAAAAAATAAAAATAAAAAATATCTTAGAGCAAGTGCTGGACCCCCCTCAGCAACTGAAAGTGATTGACCCATTTTTCCTTCTTACTTCTCTTACAGTAGCCATCCCTGCCATTGGGGCCCAGTATTCCATGTTCCCAGCAGCTCCAGCCCCTAAAATGATTGAAGATGGCAAAATCCACACAGTGGAGCACATGATCAGCCCCATTGCTGTGCAGCCAGACCCAGCCAGTGCTGCTGCCGCCGCAGCTGCCGCAGCCGCAGCCGCAGCCGCCGTCATTCCCACCGTGTCGACGCCACCGCCTTTCCAGGTAGAGTTCTGATTGCAGTCGTTGTTATTTACGTGTGAAGCCTCTCTTTATCCTGGATTCATTTAGTATTCAGCACTGAGAATTTACTGTGTGCCTGGCTCTCTGTTACAGCTATGCGATTGGATGACACAAAGCATTTTGAATTTGAATCATGACAGAAAAAAATAATTGTAATTAATTGTACTACCCTAATAATATCATTGTTAAGGGTGGGAATCAATATGTAAAAATGATGTGTAATTTTTCACAGTGTCATAATATTGTGCATATATGTTTTTTAAATAGCCCTGAATAATTTTTAGCTCATGATGTTAAAGAGCTGACGCACAAAGTCCAGGGAACGATTTCGCATTTTCACATTTCACACTGAGGCTCCATGAGGATTTCTTTAAAAAATGTTAACCCAGTGGGTGTGTGTGTGTGTGTGTGTGTGTGTGTGCGTGCGCGTGTGTGTGTAAAGAGAGAGAGAGAGAAAGAACATCTGTATAGATATGTAAAATTTTATGCTGGGTAGAGTGGCTCATGCCTGTAATCCCAGCACATGGGGAGGTCAAGATAGGAGGATCACTTGAGGCCAGGAGTTCAGGACCAGCCTGGGCAGCATGGTGAGACAGTGTCTCTCCAAGTATATATTTTTTTAAATTAGCCTGGCATGGTGGCATATGCCTGTAGTCCCAGCTACTGGAGAGGCTGAGGCAGGAGGACCACTTGACCAGCCTTGAGGTCAAGGCTGCAGTGAGCTGTGATTGCACCACTGCACTCCAACCTGGGCAACAGAATGAGACCCTGTCTCAAAAAAATTTTTACAAAATATGTCCATAATCCTCTCCTCCAACCATATCTCCCACTGTTCCCCTATCTGTTCCCAAACTCATCTTACCATGTTGGCCTCCTTCCCCACCTTTGTTCATACTGTATCCTGGTTTCTTTATTCTCATCTCTTCCATAGAATCTTCCCCATCCACCTCCTAGAGAAATATTCTCTCCTGTACTCCTCATTACTACATCATTACTTGGCCTGTGGCTGCCAATGTGTTCTATCTTCCAAGGAAAATGAAGCTCCTCCAAACCAAAGACTGTGTCTTGTTTCTTTGCATCTTCACCTCATAGGACATAGGGAGGACATCCATTTAACAGAAGAAAATCTTGTTAAAGCTGTTTTCTGTGAGGCAGTGAATCGCAAATACTAATCACAAGTACTCAGGCCCAAGATCCCTTATCCAGCTGAAAAAGAATTATCCAGGTCACTTCTTTTCATTTTTGATTTTTGATGTTTTTGAGACAGAGTCTCACTCTGTCACCCAGGCTGGAGGGCATGGCTCACTGCAACCTCAACCTCCCTGGTTAAAGCAATCCTCCCACCTCAGCCTCCCAAGAAGTTGGGACCACAGACGCACACCACCATGCCCAGCTAACTTTTTTATATGTAGGGACAAAGTCTTGCTATGTTGCCCAAACTGGTATTGAACTCCTGGGCTCAAGCAGTCCTCCCACCTCAACCTCCCAAAGTGTGGGATTACAGGCCTACATTTTTTAAAAAACAGAGATTGTTAGACTGTAATCCCTGAAGTTTCCAATTCAGTCAAACTGGGCTGGGGTCCTAGAACTGATATTTTGCACAGCTCCTCAATGATTCTGAGACAGAGCCAGGCCTCTGACCCTCCACAGTAGGATGCTGTTTACTTGCTTTTGCTCACTCTGAATGCTAGTCTTGACTGCGTTATTCAGAAAGGGCAGACTCTCTGAAGCTTATTTGTCTTTCAGTCTGTCATTAAGTATTCTTTAACTTGGGATTTCTGAAAGACAAAAAGAGGAACTGGTTGTAAATGACACTGTAGAATAACAACTGAGTGTAGTTATAGTACTTGTGGACTGATGGTAAATATTTACAATAACTTAGCAGCAGTACTTAGTGGAATTTTGATAATAATTTCTAATTCTTCTTTACTAAGAAACTCATGAACATTTGTCTTTGATGTGCACTGTGAGTTCTGGTCAGGTCCAAATTCCAGGCACCATAATCATGTTCTGACTATTTCTGTCTCCTATCAATCTGCACTGACTATTGCCATCGGGGTTCTTTTTTTTTTTTTTTAAGACGACATCTAACTCTGTCGCCCAGGCTGGAGTGTAGTGGCGCGATCTCGGCTCACTGCAACGTCCGCCTCCCAGGTTCAGACGGTTCTCCAACCTTAGCCTCCCAAGTAGCTAGGACTACAGGCACGTGGCCACCACGCCTGGCTAAGTTTTTGTATTTTTTTAGTGGAGACAGGGTTTCCACTTCATTGAGCCGCAGTTTGAAATGTGAAAATGTGAAATCGTTCCCTGGACTTTGTGCGTCAGCTCTTTAACAGGTTTCACCTGTTAGCCAGGATGGTCTTGATCTCCTGACTTCATGATACGCCCTCCTCAGCCTCCCAAAGTGCTGGGATTACAAGGCCATGAGCCACCACGCCCAGCCACCATCAAGGTTCTTATTTGCAGTCTTTGCTTATTCTCCCCTAGCTTTAATCATCCTCCCCTACGTTGTAGGCGCTCAGGGGTGTTCCTGTTTAGCCATTTAGTTAAAGCAAACATAACCGCTCCTCCTTGACAAGAGAGAAGACTGCAGGGACTCTTCACCTGAATTAGAGGCACATTTTTGGGGGGTTTTTGTTTTGTTTTGTTTTGTTTTTTGTTTTTTTGAGACGGACTCTCACTTTGTCACCCAGGCTGGAGTGCAGTGGTGGGATCTCAGCTCACTGCAACTTCCGCCTCCAGGGTTCAAGCGATTCTCCTGCTAGGGGCACTTTTTAAAGATGGGTAAATGTTTCTCCCACTACCACCATTGCATTTTTCTTTATTCCTGCTCTTTGATATGCTGTATTATTGCAATTGTATAGTGGTCCCCCCCATCCATGGGGGATACATTCCAAAATCCCCAGTGGATGCCTGAAACACAGATATTACCAAACCGATAATATACTACGCACAATTTTTTTTCCTTCTTCACAGTTTCACAGATAGAAAATTTCTTTCTTACTGTAGATCTTAGCAACCTCAGCATAGGATTTTTTTCTTTCCTTATTAAGTAGAGAACTTTCCCCTTTTCGCTTAGCGGAAGGCCTTTAGTGCTCCTCGTTGGCATATCCAAAATGCCAGCATCTCTACTCTTGCACTTTGGGGCTGATGTTAAGTAAAATAAGGGCTCCTTGACGGTCAGTCTGATAACCCAGATGGCTACTAAGTGACATGGGCATGGAGCACAGACAGTGTGGCTTTCCTGGACAAAGGGATGATTGGTGTCCCAGGCAGGACAGAGAGGGAAGGCATGAGATTTCATAGAGCTACTCAGAAGGGTGCACAATTTAAAACTTATGAATTGTTTATTTCTGAAATTTCAGCTTAATATTTTCAGACGTCAGTCAACCGCAGGTAACTGAAACCATGGAGCGCAAAACCAAGTGCTTCCCCATATATTCTCATTTTACAGATAAGAAAATTAAGGCCCAGCAAGGTGACAGAACTGCTAGCCAAGAGTAGAATTGGGATTAGGAGATCAGCTCCCTGATCTGTGTATGCTCTGTCCTTATAGTATGGTGAATGCCATATAAAAGGAACATCACACGAATGAAAAGAGAAGCCATGGGTTTGGGGACCTACTCTTGATTCCAGGCCATAAGCCAGTGCACATGTATGTGCAAAACTTAGTGTTTGAGTGGGCAGCCTGAACCCAGGTATTGGGCCAGCCTGTAGCACATGGCAAGGTCTCTCCCACATGTTGCCTTCCCTGCCATTTCCTCTCCCTTTTTGCACTGGTTATTAAACCTGTGTCCACACATGTGGAAAAGATGGCTTGTGCTGTGAACAGTCTTTCCAGTTCCGGAGCTCCTCTCCCTGGTTGTAAAATGTCGCTGATGAGACACTCATTGTTTAGTGTTTAGGAAGCAAGTTAACATAGGGCTAAAAGTGCAGACTGCAGAGTCACACATTGCATTGCTTAAAAGCTGTGTCACTTTGTGCAGGTCATTTAACACTTCCACACAACTCCATATAATCATAGTACCAACCGTACTGGTGGCTGTGATGATTCAATACTGTCATACAAATAAGGCACTTAGAACAGTGCCTGGCAGACAGTAGTCTCTGAGTTTGGGGTTTGTTTTTGTTTTTATTTTGTTTTGTTTTGTTTGAGACAAGGTCTCACTTCCATTGCCCAGGCTGGAGTGCAGTGGTGCGATCTTGGCTCACTGCAACCTTGAATTCCCAGGCTCAGGTGATCCTCATGCCTCAGCCTCTTGAGTAGCTAGAACTACAGGAGTACGCACCGCCATGCCTGCCTAAGTTTTGTATCTTTTGCAGAAACTCCTGGCCTCAGCATCCCAAAGTGCTGGGATTACAGGCATGAGCCATCTCACCCAGCCTCTGAGTTAATTGTTATAATTATCATTATAATTATAAATTAAAATTATTATAAATTATAATTACTATCTGATTATAGTTTTAAAAAGTACTCTTAGGCTAGAAGTTCTTTTGAGCACAATTTTGGAACTCTGATTTGCAAATTTTGTAACAGAAATTAGAACTAATTCCTTTATAAAAATCTGAGAAGAAATAATTACTTTAATTCACCATTTCATAGATGCTGAATTGTTTATTTTGAAGATGTATTAAGATATAGGGAGATCATACCAGCATTTACTACAAGGCATTCTGTGGCTCATGAGGTGCACCAAATATTTTGTTAAATGAATGTTTTATTTTATCCAAAATCTCTTCTCAATGAAGCATCTCACAGAACTAGTTTGATGGCAAACACTTTGGGAAATACTGAACCGCAGTCTTCCCATTCGTACTCCTGTTTATTCTGAAAACATCTTATGTTGCATTTTCAAGTAGACAGAAGGAAGTAGCAGGGGCTTTTCTACAGCCAGTGGTGGCCGTCGACAGTTCAGGCAACTTTACTTAGCTTGTCCTTCCCCACTTCTTCCTCATTTGGAAACTGCTCCTTATCCTTCAAAACCCAGCTCAAATATCCCTGCTGCAGAGACATTTTCTCCAACTTCCCCGTTAGTTGGTTCTTTCTGTAAGCTTCTACAACAATTTGTATACATTAATGGTGTCATCTCTTAGGTGGGAGATGATGGAAACCATCACATTGACTGAAAATTATGTATGGTCACAATTTTTTAAGGTCACAGCTTAAGAAGCTGTCCCTTTGGAGATCAGTATATTTTGTTTCTCTAAGTTGACACAGTCTGCTCCTCTCTCTGTCTTTGAGACAGATCATATTCCATCAGTTAAGTATGAGTTGAGGCTGCTGGCATGTATCTAGAGACCATGTTTAAGGAAAAATACTGATTTTTAATTACTGTGAAATCAACTGTGTGGAGGGTAGATTCTCCACTGCCTTCTCTAGCTCACTCTGGGGCATAGACTGATTGAGTGGAATAGTAAGTAGAAGATTCTAGAATACGTACAGAGAAGGTCCTCCTTATCCACAGGTTCTGTGTCTGGATTCAATTCTTGATTGAAAAAATAAAGACAATAAAAAATAACAATACAACAATAAAAAACAATACAAATGTCAAAATACAATATAACAAATATTTACATAACATTTGCATCATATTAGGTATTTAAGTGATCTCGAGATTATTTTTAAAGTATATGAGAGAGGCCAGACGTTGTGGCTCATGCTCGTAATCCCACTACTTTGGGATGCTGAGACAGGAGGATTGCTTCAGGCCAGGAGTTCAAGACCAGCCCTGGGCAACATAGTGAGACCTTGTCTCTATGAAAAAAAAAAATTTTTTTTATAGTATACAGAAGGATATGCGTAGGTTAAATGCAAATATGCCATTTTCTCTCAGGGACTTGAGCATCTGAGGATTTTGGTATCCATGGAAGTGCTAGAGCCAATCCCCTGTGAGGATACTGAGGGGCAACAGTATTTCATCTTTCCCTCAGCCTTCCAGGCCTCTCACTTTCACAAGGTTGCATCACTGAGTTTGAGGATGCATCTCCACCTTACCTCTTCAGTGGCTCTTATCCCACTTCCTTACAATAATTGCTGTTTGCCCGCCCCTCTGCCTTCCTCGCCCCTCTGCCTTCCACTCCCTTGCTTTTATGTCTTTGTATTCCCAACTTCTGGGAGAGGCTTGTTGAATGAATTGATGATAGGCACATATACCTGTTCAGGAAGGCTCCTTTTTGTCTCTTCTCCTCAGGGCCGCCCAATAACTCCAGTATACACGGTGGCTCCAAATGTTCAGAGAATTCCCACTGCCGGAATCTACGGGGCCAGTTACGTGCCATTTGCTGCTCCGGCCACAGCCACAATCGCCACACTACAGAAGAACGCGGCAGCCGCGGCCGCCGTGTATGGAGGATACGCAGGCTACATACCTCAGGCCTTCCCTGCTGCTGCCATTCAGGTCCCCATCCCCGACGTCTACCAGACATACTGAGGCTGGTGACCAGCGCGAAGACAAACCACACGAACACCACTGAAGGAACGCTTGACTATTTATGAAGAAGGAACCTGTTGAATTCGCACATGCAATCTGAAAGTGAAGAATGTTCGCAGATTTATTTCTGACATATTTTATATACATGAAGTTTTCACTAGTTTTTTAAGACTATTTTCAACTTAGCAGGCCTGCGTTTATACATTTCCAAAAGACTTGTAATGGTTCGTGCCTTCATACCATCTTTTAAAAATTTGTATGCTGTACTACATTTGTATAGAGGATTTTGTTGTTGTTTTTTTTTTAAGGATATATTTTCAGTATGAAGGTTATTTTCTTAACTTCTGCACTCCAGAGATTTCTATTTTGTAGTACCTTCAATAATATATCAACTATATATTAAAAAAGCACACTTGAGCAGCTAGGGAACTATTTTGAAAAATATATACAATATTTAAAGATACAAACAGTAGTGCTTAAAAATACTACATAAAACATTATTTTAAAGGTTATACTGGAAAGTGCAATTTTAAAATGAGTAAAATCTTTGTATTTCTGCTGGCATTAAGGGTTGATGGTGTTACCATGTATCATCATGGCGGTACTATTTTTTAAAAGAAACACTGAATCTCCCCTTAAGCCAACATTGAAAAGACTTGCCACACTTCTGAGTCCAAACACTGGAAAGCTCTCCTTTGCCACCATTAGCGGGGCTCATTCTCCATGTGCCTTAACCTTACACATGCCCCCACTATCCCATCTCTCACCCTGTCCCCTCCTCCCCAAATTCCCAGTCCCTCCACAATGTTTGGCCAGCCTAGGACTGATGAATAGCTCTGAAAGAGAGAGGAGCTGGTGGCTTTTATACTTCTTCCTGGGTTTTTGTTGGGGTTTGTTGTTTCGTTGTATGTTTTTTGTTTTGTTTTGTTTTGGTTGGGGAAGTATTATCTTCTATGTGTGCTATTTTCAGCAGCAGAGTAAGTACAAGGTTTTAATCGAGCTGCATTAGACACCTTTGCCTAGCTATTTAATTGCCCAATATAAAACTTTAATGCCATTTCTAATGCTTTTATTCATTTTTGAAGTATGAGTTTGTAGGGACAAAGAATGTATGTTATCATAGACAAGACCCCCAGAGACTCTTGTCAGCAGAAAGTTATGCTTCTAGTTGCCTTACCATGTTTCATGCAAAACTGTCCGTGGTCCTCAAGGGTGTTGGAAACATTTTGTTTATTAAATCTCTCTTCCCTTGCTGTGCACTTGATGGGTGAACTGAATTGGGGTGTGCACATCCAGGAGGAGGAGGAGAGACCTGTAGAAGTTTAAAGATAGTTTGTAAATATCTTCTAATGCTTGTTTTTAGTCCTTTTATGTTGCAGAAGTTCATGGTATGTAGTTTAATGCAAAATGAAACCATTTTATTTCAATGTTATTAAAAAGGTTTGTTTTATTAGGAAGTTAATGTATTGTTGCAGTGTTTTGTGCCTGTTTAAAGGCTTTTGTTTAGCAGAGTGAATGTAAAATACAGTAAAATGTTAAGATTGTCATCTACTTTAAAAATATGTATATCAACTTGGAATTGTTTTTTAAAGGCTCAATCAAGGAAGTGAGGTGTGCAATAAGGTAGCAAGTACACAGTTGCGTTTTTATGTCATATTAGAGATCCATACAATCTTTCCACCATGGGATTTTTGTTGATGGCTGAATTCTTGTGGATTCATAAGAGGATCATGCCCTTAGCAAGTACTTTTGTTTTGTTTTAAATTAAGAGATTCCCAAATGCCTTTTCCCCCCTCATCTTGAGACGAGATGAGTTTTTATGTGTAAGCAATATTTATTTAACTATTCTATAAAATTATTGAGTGCCTCCTGAGGCCTTTAAGCACCCCTAACATTCCTTTCCATCATTCTTTTAAATGACATAAAGTAATTGTGCAATGTTCCTGATGATGTACCCCGCAAGCTGCATTGAAACTCAAATCTCTTGGAATGAGTGACTCAACAAAATGTAATTTGAATCAGATCCTCATCCCTTGACTATGTGAAAAAAGTACTCTCCTTCTAGTGAAGGATTGTCACAGAGTTTCACTGGATGAAACCGTGACCCAGTGTTCTTACTGTATTTTACGTATGCCTGTAAATTATTTGTGAAGAAGAAGAAGAAGAGGAGAAGGAGGAGGAAGAGGAAGAGGAGGAAGGGGAAGAGAAAGGAAGGAAGGAAGGAAGGAAGGAAGGAAGGAAGGAAGGAAAGAAAAGAAAAAAAACAATGATACCTTAACATGGCAACCACCAAACTCCCTTAAAAACAAATGTTGGTGACATAGCTAGTTAAGTATCAGTGAGCCTCCAATCTGGGACTTACCTGTTCCTATTGTTTCAAAACCATTTCACGTACACTACTGAGATAAGTTTATAACTTGAAATGTGAACTTTTTTTTTTTTTTTTAGTGTTAAGAACAAACTATATAAATGTAAAAAAAAAGTTTTAGAGTTCTGTTTTCAAACATTGCTAGTGGTTTAGTTAACTTTAGCTGCTTTATATTTGAAAAGCTTTTATTTAGATCTTGCTCCATTTACAGTACATTCTTAGGATGTATGTAGTAAATAAAGCTTTCTTTAAAGCAATTGCAAGACCTTATTTTAAATTGTGTTTTCTTTATACTGATTTATTTTTTCTAAAATAATTAGGAAAACCCTTATAGCATAGAAAGGATTGGCTAATTCAATATTTTCCATTGGAGAAATCAGCAAGTTACGGTCATGTGTTTGTCTTAGGACTACCATTGGAGATGGATTACATTGGCCAGGTGTGGTGGCTCACTCCTGTAATCCCAGCACTTTGGGAGGCCAAGGTGGACAGATCACCTGAGGTCAGGAGTTCGAGACCTGTTTGGCCAACAGGTGAAATCCCGTCTCTACTAAAAATACAAAAAAAAAAAATTAGCCAGGCGTAGTGGTGGGTGCCTGTAGTCCCAGCTATGCAGGAGGCTGAGGTAGGAGAATCGCTTGAACCCAGGAGGTGGAGGTTGCAGTGAGTTGAGATCGTGCCTTTGCACTCCAGCCGGGACAACAAGAGCAAAACTCCGTCTAAAAAAAAAAAAAAGAAAAAATGTGTTACATAGCTGAATCGTGAATTATGAGTATCCTCAAATTTTGGCTAAGGAGGTAGGAGATTGAACACTTAAATAATATTCAAATCTGCATTGGAATAGGATGTGACAAAGCCTGTCACCACGCTCAGTGCCAAAGTTTATTTATAATCCCAACGGCTTTACACACAGAATTTTAAATGGAGAGAGTTGATGGACATTGAGTTTTTTGATGGTCTCATGAAAGTGCTGAGATGACCTTGATGTTGGTCATTGCATTTGAAACTAAAACCTTCTTGTTTCTCCTTTTCACAGTGCATAGTGAGCTTAACAGGACACTTTGCTTTTCTCTAGAGATCATCACTAACTTCAGACAGTATCTATCATCAAAGTCAATAAGATGACAGGAGGGAAGGTGGTGGATTGTCAATAGAATAAAGTTCCACTTGGATTTGCCAGTGATTAAGAATTTTACCTTCTTAGCTTTGAACCTGGACTATGACCTCCCAACCTGCATTTCTTGAAATTCTAACCTTCTGCTTCCTCTTAAATGGATAAAGGCCTTTTTAGAGGCAGAACAGACCAGCATGTTGGGCAGAACATCCCAAGATGATAGCTTATTAGGCAGTATTTTTAGGGGCAACAAGATCTACTGATCTTCTTGTCCTAGGAAATAAGTACAAAAGCTCTTCAAGTTACAGGATCACATTCAGGCTAGATTGATCTCTTTAGAAAAAGAATTAACAATCAAAATGAGGCCAATAGCATGTCAAATGAGGATAATGACTATGATCATGTGATTCACTGGGTTCTTAGGCTTCCATAACCTCAGGTGGAGCTCACCAGAACTCAGTGAAATAGGCAGGACGGATATAGATATGTGATCACACAGCTGGTAACAGGACTCAAATCTACACTCAAGGCCAAGCGCAGTGGCTGCCGCCTGTAATCCCAGCATTTTAGGAGGCCAAGGCAGGTGGATCACTTGAGGTCAGGAGTTCGACATGGTGAAACCCCATCTCTACTAAAAATATAAAAATTAGCCGGGCATGGTGGTGGCACCTGTAGTCCCAGCTACTCAGGAGGCTGAGGCAGGAGAATCAGTTGAACCCAGGAGGGCAGGAGTTGCAATGAGCCGAGATCATGCCACTGCACTCCAGCCTGGTTAACAGAGTGAGACCTTGTCATTAAAAAAAAAAAAAGTCTACGCGCTCAAGACTCTGTCCCAGGTTCTAAATGCCCCATTTTTCAATTCCAAAAATGTCTGTCATGACAACATACAAAGCACTTCATTGAAGAGTTAGAAAACGTCTTCTGATTTTTCTTGTGTATTCAATTTTATATGATTTCTTTATTATAAAGCCTTCTGGGCACTAAGGCTTTGTATTTGAGTTTTTTGTTTTGCTTTGTTTGGATTTGATTTTTTTTTTTTTTTTTTTTTGAGATGGAGTCTGGCTCTGTCACCCAGATTGGAGTGCAGTGGCGCGATCTCGGCTCACTGCAAGCTCCACCTCCCAGGTTCACGCCATTCTTCTACCTCAGCCTCCCGAGTAGCTGGGACTACAAGCACCCGCTGCCACGCCTGGCTAACTTTTTGTATTTTTAGTAGAGATGGGGTTTCACCGTGTTAGCCAGGATGGTCTCAATCTCCTGACCTCGTGATCCGCCCACCTCAGCCTCCCAAAGTGCTGGGATTACAGGCGTGAGCCACCATGCCGGGCCTTGGATTTGATTTTTTAAGTCATAGGAATTGACATTTTGGCATGGCTGTTTTGATGAAATAACATTTTGACACCATGACCCTAAAAACAAAAACCCATCTTCAGCTTTTTACGAAACTACTAAGTAGAATGACACAGATGTTCTCACTTTATCCTACCTTTTCCTTGACACATTCACCATTTCTGAACCCCCAAGGTCAAAGGGAGGATTAGGTTTAAATATAGAAAGAGACTCAGGAGACATCCACGAAATGTTTTACTTCAATTCCAAGGTCTAAGCTACTGGACTGGATACAGCCTTTTCTCCTGTCTCCTCTTTTCACTTATTAGTACCCAGCATTCCTGTTTCTAACTCTTCATGCCAATAAACTTGGGGGACAAATGTGATTACCCAAATGCTTACCTCTATGAGCAAGTGCCATGGCCTACTAAAATAGGCTGGGTTTGTGGTCAGAACGCCTAGGGGAGAAACCAAGCTTTGCTACTTGCAAGTCATGAGACTTTGAAAAAGATGCCTTTCCTCTCTGAGCACCAGTTTCTTAACTGGTAAAATAGGGATAATAATCCTGACCTCATAAGGTTATTATAAAAATGAGATTAGTTGGCTGGGTGCGGTGGCTCATGCCTGTAATCTTAGAACTTTGGGAGGCTGAGACTGATGGATCACTTGAGGTCAGGAGTTCAAAACCAGCTTGGCCATCATGATGAAACCCCATCTCTACTAAAAATACAAAAAATTAGCTGGGTATGGTGGTGTGTGCCTGTGATCCCTGCTACTCGGGAGGCTGAGGCAGGAGAATCACTTGAACCTGGAGGCAGAGGTTGCTGTGAGCCAAGATGGTGCCACCGCACTCCAGCCTGGGTGACAGAGCGAGACTCCATCTCAGAAAAAAAAAAAAAAAAAAAGAGAAGAGTTAATCTAAAAAAGCCTAGTACATTGTTGGCACTCTTATAGACAGTTATTTCCTTTCCTATCTCCTTTTTAAACTCTAGTGCGACTGCATTCCTCTTTGTTAATTCTATCAAGCCTTTCCATTTTAAATCCTTTTATTATTTTTTTAACTCATTCACTGAAATTTTTTATTCTTTTATTCACCTGTTTATTCCATAAACATTCATTGCTGGAGTGCCAACTATGCAGGATTCACCAGAGAAATAAGTCAAAATTGACCTTCTGCCTTCTGCAAACTCCCAGGCATGATAAGACTGTTTTATGGGAAGGGGACACACCCAGGCTCGAGCCAGAGACCTACAAGATGAATAGGAGTTAGGCAGATGAGTAGGGGGAAAAGGGAGTAGGAAATGCCTGGGCCGGGAGGAAAGAACACAGTATCAAGTCCACGAAAGCAGTTCAGAGTGGCTGCCTTAAAGGAGAAGGAGAAAGTGTGAAGAAATCCAACCTTTGCACTGTTTAACATTAAATATTGTTCATGGCCCTGCATTAGCTGTGAAAGGAAGAGATTTGGTCCCTATGACAAGGAAGCTGGGGGAGCCAGTAATCACGTAGAAAGAACCGTCAATCATCATTCCTCCTTAGGGCTTTCAGGAAATGATGGAGCCCTGCATTTATCCACACTGCTAAAGCTAGAGCTGCCCCTAGTGAAAAACTCCCTTCCTGCTGCCTTCCTGGTCCCAGGGGGGATGCCTGCCATCTCTGAGCTTGTCCAGCAGTTTGTAGCAGCAATCAAAGCTTTTAGGGCTGCCCACCTGTTTCTTGTGCAGGTCCAGGTTCCAGCCTCTGGGACCTTCACCCTTTCCTCTCCAGTCATACAGCAGCTGCTTGTGGGTTTCCCCACTGTCCCTACGTAAACCCCCCACAGGACAGGAATGCAGGCTTCTCAGCAAAGGTGATGGAGGCCTATAGTCCTCCAGATGACCGAGGGTGGATGATGTGGTTTGGCTATGTCCCTACCCAAGTCTTATCTTAAATTGTAGCTCCCATAATCCCCATGTGTTGTGGGAGGGACCCAGTGGGAGATAATTGAATCTCAGGGGCAGGTTTTTCCTATGCTGTTCTCATGATAGTAAGTCTCACAAGATCTGATGGTTTTATAAAGGGCAGTTCCCCTGCACACGCTGCCATGTAAGATGTGCCTTTGCTCCTCCTTCACCTTCCACCATGATTGTGAGGCCTCCCTGGCCATGTGGAGCTGTGAGTCCATTGAATCTCTTTCCTTTATAAATTACCCAATCACAGGTATGTCTCTATTAGTAGCATGAGAATGGACTAATACAGTGGAGGAGAGTCCCAAGTAAAATCTTTAGAGACACATTGACTTCCCCAACAGGATCATATTTCCATGAAACTCCATTCTGCACAGTTACCAGAAACAAAAGCAACACTAAACCCTGCATATGCAAGAAATATGACCTTTGCTAGGCTAATTTTTAGCCACCCTTCTTTCTTGGCTTGTTCTACTTTGTTTGGCAAAAATCTTCATTAATGATTAACCAACCATGAGATTTAAATAACCTTAGTCATTCTGAGGCAGCTAAGAGATGTCACTGAAGCCCAGTTGTTTCTGAGATGACCTTGTTGGGGGTGTGCTGGGTCAAAACATTTGTGCTTCATGGTATTGTGATAACACTGGGCCATGCCAGTCTGGTTTTGCTGGGATTTTTCCTCTCCTTTTTCAGGACCTTTATTCCAAACTGGTAGCACCATGAGATAGTTTTATTTCCATCGACCTCAACAGCCTCACACCTCTAACCCAACTGAAATATGGCCATTTGACCTTTTCTCAATCTTATGTAGAGTAAAGCTTTCTAAAGCTATATCTTCCCTGATCTTCATGACAATCCTATAAGATAATTA